TCTATACTTAGATCAACTGTCGCTGCAATGATTAGGTATAGCAAAAAAATTGTTTATTTTACTGTATATCTACTGTGATTGTTTAACTATTAAAACACCCTTGTTTAAAATGAGGATGTTACCTGCTGTCATTCATGGCACCAGAGTCATGACACACAGCATGACAGTGTCCCAGAAAGAGAACATTCAGACACAGAAAATTAGTAATAGAACAGAAAATTCTATCATCAAACTTTATAGTACAGTAAGTACCTAGATGATAAATCTTGATTTATTATGATCTTCTTAAGGCTCTGCATTTTTGACCCTGCTAGCTAAATTTCAAAACTTGGTAATATTTCTACAGGTGTTAATTGGGAATTTTTGTGGTATGGGGAAAAGCATATTTCTGTACATGCACTTCACAGACATGAACAATTGAACAGCATCTTCCCCGACTGAAACTACTGTCAAGTAAACATAACATACTGTAGGTGGTGTATTAACAAAGGTTATCCTTTTAGCAGTTTCTAAAAATTCCTGATAATGAACATATGAAAAGAGTGCATATGCAAATAAAAACGAATGTGTTAAGTGCTTTTTCTCAGATTGTCAGATTACACTGTAAATACAAAAGGGCAAAACATTAGACAAGATTAGCACATGGACCAGTCATGAGGAAACAACTTTGATTTTTGCTCCATTATTTATAATTCGTTTAACCTGTATTTTTTAATCATCAACTGCCACCTCTCTCTCAAATTCCATCTAAAGTTTTGAGCATCATATCAACAAATATTACCTTTGCCCACAGACGACTTTCTCATCAAGAAATATGATTCAATTATGGTTTATTGTTTGTGTTTGTTTGCTCAGGGCAACATATATATCACAGAGAATGTTTTTTTTTAATTTAACTGCTAATTAACATATCATTACCAATCTTCTTGCCTGTTCTCACATGCTAAGACTTGGTGAGCAGATCGCCACCAGCTGGTCCTCCAACACCAAAACTAAAGGCAATAAAGGTTTATTTCAGGTCTATGATTTGACTATTTTTACCATTAAGCTACAAAATGACCTACAAATTGGGTTTTTAAATTAGCAACTCAGAAGTACAGTAACTGGTCCCATCCTGGTAACCATGGTAATTCTGTTGAACTGGTGAAGAAAAGATTTCGGCATGAGAACACAGCCCTCAAACACACAATTAAACTCAGTGCTGAATCCCCAACCCACACTTATATCTGACGGAGTGAAAAGGTTCTCAGCCTGAGAATTTTTGTTCCCCCAAAAAATCTCTACTGCCACCAAGTCATTGGCAACAGGAAGTTACAGCCTTATGCATGCATCTTCTTTGGTTCTGTAGAAGGATGCTGCTTCTCTTCTTAAATTGATGCAATCTGTGAACTTCACAAGCGATAACCAAATTGGTCCACTCACATGCTCAAGCCATCAGCTACAGTAATTTTTGCATCACTTCACCAGCTTCTACTGTATCGCCCAAACTCACTTTTTAGACACATGCCACTCTGTTAACTACGTTCAACTGAAAATGTCCATGTATTACAAACCATTGTTATCCCATTCCATCCCAAATACACTTAAAAGGTATTCTTTTCTCACAATTCAGACTCTGCAAGTTATTCAGTGACAAGTCTGACTTCCAGGCAACATTTGTGAAGCAGTGGTTAACATTGCTGTCTCACAGCACTGGGGTCCTGGGTTCAATTCTGTGTTGAGTATGTATGTTCTCCATGTGTTCACATACTGTAGGTTTCCTTCAGGTGTTACAGTTTCTTCCCACAGTCTAATGACACATAGGTCACTTAATTGGCTTCTGGGAAAATTAGCTCTGATATTAGTGGGTGCACTCTTTGGTCTGTCCCCCCTGCAATGGACTGTTGTCACATCCAGGGTGTATCCTGCCTTGCACCCGTTGCTCGTCGGGATAGGCTCTGGCTCCTGTGCAACTCTGAATTGGACGAAGCACTTTGAAAATGATTGAATGGATGGATGGAAGGCTGACTTCCAAAACCAAGCCTTTAAAATGTGCTCTTCTTGAATTGACAGGGAATATCCTTTACATTTCTGTCAGGGCCCAACCAAAACCTGCCTTCCGACTACCACGTTCCTCAAAGAGGAGTTTCCGTTCTACAAATGCCAAGCACTCCGCGGGTCTGTCTCTTCCAGCCTAACCTCCTTTCGATTCCTTACTTCATCAAATCAAACTTCTCTATTTTATTTGATGACTCCCCAGCTAGAATTTTTTTTTCTGGCCCATCAAATCACTGCACAGCAATGACCACCTAATCTAATAAGCCTTCTTGTCTTGTGCCTTATTGATTCACCTGAAACACCTAAAAATATACATATCCACTAGTATGCATACACAAGGCCATAATTGTCCATTTTACAATCAGCCAGAGAGCATCATGCTTGTCCAACAATCTTATTTATTGCATCCCTTCCACTGGCATTTACATCTGCAAAAGAACTACAACGACTGACAGTTTGACTGTTAGAGAACTGAGGATCAGAGGAGTCAATATGTCTATAGTTCCCCCATTTTACCTCTCTAAACTGTAGCAATTCCGCACCATCTCTCAATGCTTGAGTAAGTTCTCTTTAAACATGTTCACTCATTTACAGGTTTCAGCTCATCACACAGCTCCTGGAATCCATCTCCCAGCATTCCGTTTGTCTGGACACTTCGCCTGACGTGCCCTCCCTCAGAGCCTCCTTCCTTTATTATCCTTACCAAACACGCCAAACTCTTTGCTTCCTAATCCTGCTTCCTTACTTCCTCCCACACCCCTAACAAAATCCCCACAGTTGAAACTTTTTCTTTACATGTCTTTATTGTAGAATTAACTTCTACATATACTTTTACCAATTCAACAAGCACTACTAAAAAAATGGAAAAAAAAGTCTTGAAGCCCATATTTAATCTTGCTTCAGGACTCCCATATAACTAATACCTGTAAAGATTCCTCACACTGTTTTGCTTAGATTCTTAAATGGTACTGCCATCGACAAATTCGTAAACATACGGTACCTGCATTAACATTAAATATTTAGCACTTGGGGAGAAAAGCAATGTAACAGTATTTTCCCCACATTGATTCAAAAGGTCTATTTTCACGGTTTGAGATTAAAATTAAGGCCTGCTTAAAGTTATAGGAGCTTGAAAACTGTTATGAATTCCAGTGTAATCAGTGCATGAGCAACACTTTAATAAATCAACAAATAAATGTGAGAAATTGCTCAATTATATGGTTTACATTGTACTAAAATGAACCGAATAGGATCTTTTTTAGCCTAAAAAAAGGCAGACCCAAAACATAATTTAAGAATCCATTTCAGAAATTATAGTTCAGTCAATACTTGCAAACAAAAGGTCACTTTCAGGCTGGGTATCCAATATTACATGACAAGCTGGGGTCAAAAACGTAATTATAAATGTTCTCATGGGGCTGACTCCTGTAAGCTACATTAGAAATCATATATGTGGTAGCATGTTTCTGTACTTCACATATACTACATTATATAGATTATGAGTCTACAACATAGCATATGTTTTTCTTTCCTTAAACTCCAATTTCCTGGCTGGCCACATTTTTCTGAATACATTTAGCCTGGTTAACAGTCATGCTCGACTCTCTGAGACTGTAAATGAAGCCTCACCTTGTTCATGCACCAACTGGAGAGAACAGTTTGCAGAATTCCCGTTTTTTGCTGACTCACTACATCATTTTTCTCCGAGATAAAACCCTTGGCAGGCATTCCAATGTTAAACTCCCTCCCACAAACATTTAAATGTTTTGGTCTTGCTTTTTCTTGGCTTGTTATTTTAAATTAAGATCACCAATTATTGCATCTAGCACCATTTACCAGATTTAGACTCCCTGTTAGCCGTTATGTGTTCATTAAAGTGGAATAAACGGAACCTGCTGGCTGCCACTGAAATCACAAGATCTAAGGCCCTTAATCTGCAGCATTTGTAGCAAAACCTATTACACTGCATCTGAAAAAAGGAAAAACTGCTTCTACAGTACATACATTTTCCTGCCAGCGTTCAACCTTCATCATCTAACAGCTTACAGAATCAAACAGATAATTGTACACTCTTATACTAAGGGTGACATAAGTCATAAAACCAACTAAAAACACAGCCTTGGGGTTGCTAATCCTACACGTCACGACTAACTACAAAAATGGTACGCATGATAAAAATATAAAAACTAAGCAATACACCTGTGTGCCAAAAGAGATCCCCATGAGTAAATACAGTGAAATATGCTAGCTGAATTGCCACTGATAGCACAACTCATTCTGTTATAAATCATTCACACAGCATTCAGCATCTACAGGATCTAAGAATGTCCATTTAAAATTATAATTGTACCCTACAGTAGAAAATAGTGGAGGCCACAGCAACAGAGAATCTTGCACTGTCAGAGAGATTTTATGCTTTCCATAAATATTATTTGTAGGTGATTGAACAAATCATTTTTCTCTGGTTTTCATTATTAGTAATCAACTGAGATACACCCTTCATCAAGTGCATCTGTGATTTTCGATCATTCTAATTAGAGGAGCAGCTGAGCTAAAAATAAATGAATAATCATCTCCAACAAGGAGTCCACCTGATGAATTCGCACACCTTTATACAAATCGTTTATTCTTCTGGTGCACTGGATCAGCAATGTCACTACAGGCAAAAAGGATGGATTCTCTGTTCCTCTGAAAAGTTCGTCAGATATTTACTGCTGGTGAAGACCTCTTATCTGTACAGCTAATTAGACGTTAGGGAGATGCAGGTCAGGTTTCTAAGTAATGTGCAGAATAAACTAGAATACGGCTGCTACCCATTGCTAAGAACAAGCAAAAAAATCCTTATAGGAAACATCTGATTTCAAAGTTTAAAATAACCTAAACGCATACATTAGTATATAATAACCTCAGCTAGCAAGCAGCTTCTCATTTAAGCGAGCATTAGAAAACACATGCAACACTACCTTCAGTCACATAGTTGTGGTCTCGGAGAAAGCTGTGGTTGATTTTTCGGGTGTCAATGTCCTCGCCCATTTACAGCAGGATTACTCAGCATGCCCATCCGCAGTGGACTAATCGAATCCGTAGGCTTCCTCACAAGAGCACCATCCATGCTGCCACTGCCTAGCAGAGGCGGAGAACTGCCAGGGGTTCAGAGGATAGCATAATGAGAGCCAAAAGACGAGATGCGGCACAGACTTGTGGTGCAGCTGAGATGTTTGAAGGAGAGGAAGAGAAAAATTGGGGGACAACACACATACACACACACACACAACCCCCGCACCCCTCACACCCACTCACACAGAAGGCATAAAAAGCTTAGCTGGTACAGCAAACTGGCAAGAAAAAAAAAGAAGAAGAAAACAGGAGATGGTCCCTTCTGTGGCTCCCCCCCCCCAACTCTATAGAGCTGCAGCAGCACTCCTGTGGTTTGAAGAAACACGCTAGTCCTTTTAGTCAGGTACTCCTTAAACAAGCCCCCATGCAGAGCTGGCTCCTCGTGCTTGCTGCAGCAGGATCTCAAAGGATTTGTGCTGGAAGGAGAGGGTAATGAGTGTGGCTGCTTGTTTGCTTGCAGGCTTGCTGGTGCAGTGTGAAACGGTGTGCGTGTGTGTGCATGCGCGCGCGTGAGAGGAGAAAGAGCGAGAGAGAGAAGCGAGCGTGAGTACTGCTGCTGCTGCCTGCCACTGCTACTGCTGTCATAGGCCTCTGCTGCATCAGAGTAGGCTCCTCCCAGCTTAGCCTATGAGCAGCTAGCCATGATCTGCATTTCCAGAGACTGCAGGTGATTAAAGCTGCACTCTGGGAGGCAGGAGAAGCAGAGGGGAAAACTCTCTGTGCAGCTCTGCTTTGAAATACATCACGTTACTTCTCCTACTGCAGCAAAACAACAAATGTTTCAAAGATTCTGCCTTTAATTACTGTAAGGCTGCAGCAGTAGCCCCCAACTGATACCAGCTGCTGAAAGTGACATGTCATATGGCTCAAATCCTTTATGATTACAATATAGAAATATAGGCAGATAAGAAATATACCTCCTTTCCAGTGGATAAGAATACTAAAAGAGAACGTCTGTAGCACTGGTTTGTAAACAACTGCCAGGAAGATGATGCACATTAATCTGAGTCTCCTAAATGAAGGAGTCTCCAGCCTCATAGAGTCTAGTGTCACTGTGTGAAGAAGAGTAATGGACTAGTTTTCACCAACAAAGAGTCCAGAAAATATGACTAACAGTAATCCCTTAATGGTGTTGGAAATAATTCAGCCTAACTCTCTACAGAGATATACCCGAGGATTCCACTAGGCTTCAAACCAAAAGCACAAAAAAACAATTAATAAACATCTTATTAAGGCCTTTTACAAATATAAAAATTACAGTTCCAAGAGATTTCAAAGGGATCCATGCATGTGCCATTATGAAATAGAGCAGTAATAAGGAATGTGGCAGTAGATTTTCAGTAACACAGATGTTAATTGCAACGAAAGAATTTCTAAGGATTAGTGTTTCCATTAATGAACTCAAAGAAGCTATTCTGATAATGTAGTAAAACAAGATCAGTATCCTATGGATTGTGACCTATATGTGACTGTTCTACAAACTAGATATACAGTAGCTCTCATAAGTAACAAAGTTATCACAAATTCCCAAACATTTAAAGTTACGTAAAACATAGACTAACAAATAACAGAAATAGTGATGTTATTTTATATCCACCCATTTTCTGGTATTCTTATTGATTTTATTCCTAAATCTGTGTTTCAATGGGACAAGTAATTTTTTAGGTAATTTGTCATCTGAAATCTTTAGCTGTGTATAAACAGTTGTATTTATTTTTCAATATCATCCTCCAATCTTGAATCGGGCCGAGTGTAAAGCTACTTAAAATGGCAAAATTAAATAAAACGATGAGTTAGCATTCTTTTCACTCAGAAGGGACTGCAAACAAAAAAAATAACTTTAGCGTTTAAAAAAAAAGATTTCTCAGAAATAAATAACTGAACTAGCTGTGGCAAATAGCCTGCTCTCATTGTAAATATTTTTTTTTACAAAAGTGGGTCAAAGTACTGGTGTGGTCACCTTTTAGCCTTTTACAGATGGTGAATAGGTGAAGATATGTATGCTTAACATAGCTAAGAGCTATTTGGCAAATTCTCCCAAGAAGACAAAAACTTGTAGCAGATATGGTCTTTACCTGCAGAATGTTCATGATATAAATAGCTGATCATATTGATATTGACAAACAGTAGAAGGGTTGTGAGTATCCAGGACTTTTGATGAACAGCAATGAAAGCTGGCGGTCCTGAGGTGATGTTTTAGCTTGCTTTGGCGTTTGCATTAAACAGTTCAAGAAACGAAAGGTGCCTCCTGAACTCAGACTATGATTGACTTCTCAGGTTATTTTGTGTACATTTAGGTCATTTCAGCCCCACTGACTGATAAACTTCAAAGTCAAGGAAACATCATCCTGTCTGCACCAAGCAGCTTTTGTATTTGAATACAAATTGAAAGTGTACTTCAGAAGACTTCTATACTGGCAGACTCATTCACTTTGAGACACTGCGACTATGTCAAGATTCTTGCTTAGTACAGTATCCCTGCAACAAGCCTAGTTTACAAAGCTAGTGTGTCTTACACCTGATCTACTGTCATTCAAGTCACATTATGTAGGCTTGTACAGAAAGCTCATTGTTCAAGGTCATGATTCACCTCCCATGTAGACCCAGTGGAAGCACTGGGCTTGAATGTCATTCTGGACATTTCCTCTAGAGATTTAGAGCTAGTAGTTGCAGATGCTAAGAAGCTGGAAACGGGATGAAAAGTTCCCTTCCTTAATTCAAGCTTGGAAAGCTTTGCTTGTCAATTCTCAGAACAGGCAAACCTGCACAAATGGACTGACTGGACGGATTATATGAACTTGGAACTTTCGTATACATGTAACACAATGTGCAATGTTGGTTTTAGTCTGTAAATGATGCCTGGCCCCTGTGTGTGTGAACAGGTAACCTCCATTCAAAACTATCTCCTCTCAAGACTAACAAAGCCTGCACAAGTTATGAACCAGACTTCAAAGAAATTAATAAAACAATTCAGTAGCAGAAGCAGCATTAGACATGCAATGTAAGCACATTACTGACTTTAAATGATTTTTTCTGGCATTTCTAAACAAAGCCATTGTCGACTCCTTTAGTAAAGCAATGTGGCGGGAAGGTTGCTGGTGAATAGACCTTTAGATTTATAAATGTTTTAGCATAAATAAACCTTTATTAACCCAGATAAGTCAAGTGAGATCAACGTCTCATTTACAGTAAAAACCTGGAAGGTAACACCGTAGAGAGAGCAGAAACAGTACCTGTCTGCATTTTTATTTCAATCAATTGCTGCTTTTTCCCCCACTATGGCATTAATCTTGACACCCACATCTAAAACTCAAACAGGGTCCCAGTAGCCCTAGATTCTTCACCTATGCCAGTTGTGATAGCCAGACAGGATTCTCAAAGCACAAAGCATTTTGAAATTGAGATCTGATGCTCTTGCAGAAACACCTGAACTTCCAAAGGCAATTTAAATAACGGTGTGAGCCCCTTTGCTTCCAAGTGCAGCAGGAGCCGTGTACTGCTACTACCCATTTCACTGAAGAGGACACTTAGAATTAGCAAATTCACAGGCCTTGCTTTAAAGAGACACACCACTTTCACTGCACTGTCTAACACAGCCTGCCAAGGCCGCTCGATGGGTGCACCAGCGAGTCCTTTTTATTTTGGGAACAACTTTGTATATACGAACTACCACACTGCTGTGTTGTCCTAACTTAACTCTGGCACTGTCCATACAAACTCTAACACAGCATTGCCAGTCAATACTGTGAGCCTCAATTAACCTAATCATTATGTGCCAAGTGCATCTTGTTTCTAGATGTTGCTGAAGATTTGGCTTGCAGGATGCCACGCACTGATATCAAGGACTTTCCTCTTCCACTCTCAAATTCATATAGGTTGTATAATTCTTTCTAAAGTTTTATGTACATTGGCGCTATAACTGGTTTCATCATTATCCATGAGCACCATTACCATTAATGTTACATTACAGAAGCTTGATTAGATGTGCTAGCATCTTCCCAGCAATCAGCATTTTGAATGTTTATCTTTTTTTATGCTCTTTCTTTTAAGCCACAAACTTAATAAGCTTAAACTTCAGATTCCATGTAACATGGTTCTACATCATTATTTCAAGAAGGTAGTAATCTAGGTTTATCTCGGCTTATGTAACATCCATCCAATAGCACCAAAATTCCATCCATCTATATTCTAACCATTTCTTCCAATTCAGGGTCATGCCTTAGGGCAAACAACAGACACAAGGCAGAGCATTGAAAAATACATGAAATTATCAAACAGTGTAAAAATATAATAATGTATGAAGCACAGTGACCCAGGAGTATTTAAAATAGCTGAGAATCTAGCTTAGTTTTGATAATTGTTTCTCTAACCTTTCATGTAACAAAGGACACTGTACTGTACACCACTATGACTGCCTTGACTTGGTTCAGTTTTGGCCCCTCCTGAGGACAGGCACTACATTAGATATTCTCATCCTTGAATATTCTCCGTCTTGAGCGACTGCTCTAAGGGTTGCACCAACGGTAAGATACCATTGAGCCTTGCTTTTAAGATTCATGAAATCATCGTCTTGTATCCAAAATACTCCTGCCTGTTCTATGCTAATAATACCTAATAAATGACTCCCTCTGAGACATGCTGTTGACGTCTTAGTAAACACCTAAATAAGACTCACATAATTGACTCTTGATTCCAATACAGGGATTTGATGTCCTGGAAAAAAATGTGCATGCGACACATTGAAATCCAACTGAACGCGCATTTGAAAAGCTGAAGAAAACACTGAAGTCAGAGCTCCCCAGGAAGAGATGAAAACTCAAAGCATATCAAGTGATAATTGGGTGAGTTCAATGGGCCATAGGCCACAAAGGGATAAGCAAACAAATACTGACCTGCATTTAACATATTTATGTAAAGTGCATCATAATGGCTACTGCCAAAAAAAACACTAAAACAAACACACATTAGACTTTCATTGTAATATGATAAAATGCATGCATTGTTTTAATCATGAATGAAGATATACAGTGTTACTGATATGTTTAAATGGTTACACTATTTAAACAAACAGTTTGAATCTTCAGAGTACGATGGTAAAAATGACCAGTGGCCATTAGGCATTAGCTGTGGCTTATTCAGAAGTACCATTATCTACACTACTACAACATATTCAAAAACAGGCAGTGAAAACTATAATCCTTAAAATCACTATAGGCTTTGAAGCCTAAAGATCTACATTTTTCATGATGCCTAGCGACAACATCCAAGTTCATTTAAATGCTATGTTTTTCCAAATGCCTTTTTCCTATAGCTTCCACTGAGCTTTTGTCTATTAACACAGAAATCCTCTCCTTACGGTATCCATTTCCAACAGCAACCGTAGAATTGAGCTCTCTCAAAACAGGGTAAATGAAGTAGTTTTGAAGTGAAATGAAGTCTGGAGGGACTTACCTTTAGGAATATAGAGTCAAGAGTTCTACCAGAGTAAGTGTAGTTCTACAAAGGTTTAAAACTTTCATGTTTATTGATGTAGACAAAAACTGTTTCTTCAGATACTT